CAGTAAAGGATGGCCCAAAGCTTTAGGACCCTGTAATTGCATAGGAGATCTGGAAGAGATCCAGGCCCCTGGCTTCAGTTCAGCTCTGCTCTAGACGTTGCAGTCACTTAGGGAGTGAATCACTGAGTGAAAGATCTTCCTCTCTATATATCTGATTGTACAATAAAAATAAATAAATCTTAAGAGAGACTTTCATCTTCAGTTCACTGCCTAATGGCAACAATGGTAGAGACCCGGCCAGGACAAAGCCAGGGCCCAGAAGTTCCATCTGGGTATCCTTTTTTCCCTCCATTTATTATTACTATTATTAACATTATTTTATGACAAGTTCCATAGGTTCTGGGATTTCCCCTACTTCCTTCTCAAAGCCCCTCCCCCCCCACACACTGATTTCCTCTGCATTATTACAACAGTATATTTCTTCTTAAACAGTGATAAATGCATCATTGCAGATATAGACAATGACAGAGACCAGCATCCTATTAAGATATATTTAAGTTTCTTTGGGAATCTATATTTGATCTAGAAGTAGAGGTGCATACTGCCTTGTATCCTCACATCTGGATATGATATTCTCCATCACATAGTACTATACATCCCCTTAAATGAAAAGCCGTGAAAAGAAAATCAGCAACAGGAAGAAAAACAGAAATTTACAGTGTCCTGAAGTTAAATAACTAATGCATTACTGAAGAAATGGAAATTAAGAACCTTTTTGAAGAAAATGATGCTAATGTATGACTTGTGAGTCAGTGAAGAATGTACCATAGGAGAAAAATCTTTTTTGAAGAGATGAAAATAAAAACAAAAGCATCAAAATCCATGAGATAGTTTCCACTGATCTTTGTTGGTGAGATGTGTCTGCTATAGGCAACAGACAGATGGGTTTAGTTTTTGATCCAGTCCACTAATCTCTAACACTTGATTGAGCTTAAGCCATTTCCATTCGTGGTTAATAAGAATGCATGGTAATTTAGTCACGTAATTTTAGCAATGGTTTGCCCATTGTTGGATCTAGTCGTCTGTGATTTTACTGGGATGTTCACTTTTGGCTTTTGTTTTGATGAGTACTATTCATTTTCCCTGCCGAACATTTTTATCATTTGAAGGGTAGGTCTCTGAGCTTGGCAAAGGCTTTTGCTCCTTTGCAGGGGAGTCTTCAGTAATATTCATTGTGCCTCTGTCTTCTTTTGTTCTTGCTTATTGTACTTTTGAGAGCAGATTCTTCTTGTTAGGGCTGGTTTCTAAGCTGTGTCTCACAGAGGTCTACAGTTCGATGTTATTTATTTCATTGGGTACCTGGTTCTTCCTTTGCAGTCATTTTTCACTCCCTGTAGCAAGTTTCAGGCCTGGGCTCTTATGCTAGGCTTCTACGGATTCCCTCTGTAGTCACAGCTCCTGGCTCACCACTCTCCACCTCCTGTGATCCTGTGCTGTGGCTGCACAGCTCAGCTGTCTGTACAACCTTTCTCCCATTTCTGGTTCAAGAAGTTCTCAGGATAAAGAAGACACCAGGTAGCCTAAGTAACTAAATTGTCAATGGTGCTGATCTTGTCTAACTCTACAGGCTGTAGGGTGCAAGTCAGTATTATTCTCCCTGTGGGACCAGTGTAATGCACTGAGCATGAAGTGATTTTGCTCCTAGCTCAGGACATGTGCAGCTCACTGTTGTAGCTCCAGTCTCAAAGACTTTGCCACATTTTACAAAATGGTGCCTGATGTGCCATCGGTGGAGTTTTGGATCTGCTAATCATTAGGACTCAGAGGTACCTGGACATATTGTGGGTGAAACCTGTAGGATGCCACGTCATTGCAAAGCACGGAGCTAGAAATGAGTTTGCTCCCAACTTAGTGCATGCACAGTCCTATCCCATGGACTCTGCCTCCCTACACAAAACAGCACTTGATGAGGTTCTGCTAGGGGTCTAGTTTGTGAAATCTACCCTATTCCTGCACCCACCTGTTTAAGGTATAGTGCTCTGCGTCTGCTCCTGGTCGAGTCGAACAAAGTAGCAGGATGAGCAGTTCTTTGTGTAGTTTCAACTGCTGAACTCCTGGTGAACTCCCTTCCCACCTGACTGCTTGAGGATCTCTGGTCGCCGATTGCCAACTGCCACTTGCGAATCTGGTCACTGCAACGCCACGCCATTGTCTCTGCTGCTTTCCCATGTCTGTTCAGTCTCCAGGTGTCCCTCTGCCATCTGCCTGCCCTCTCCTGTTTCTTGGAATGTGCTCTTTCTGCTTCACCCTAGCTAATAATTCTCTGTTTAAACATGTCCTTGCCTATTCCACCATCTTAATTCTCCTATATAGGTAGACTATATGTTACTAGGGCCACAGAACTCCAGTGACCATCCGTCTATTGCTTTCCCATGTGCATCAGCAGGAATTTGGGTAGGAAGCAGGACAGGTGGTTATCAGACTTGTACTCTGTGGAATGCTGGCACTGCAAGCATTCCACAGCTTAAACCTCTTTGCAAGTACACGGGCCTTCAGGTAGTTGTGCTTTATTGACCCGATACTTCCTGATGTTTCAATAATTCCTTCTAGTGGTTGCTTAGAAATAAATTTACCTAAAAATAATACAAGGCCATATCACCTTTGGCTTATGGGGAAGAAGTTACACATTTTTCATATGTTTATATAGTTTTACACTCAGTAGTCGGTATTGTCATTGAGCAAAAGGTAGCTATGTAATCAAGAGTCTAGAATTAGGCAGCAGAAGAGCACAGGGAGAGAACCTGAAACCATGAGCTGGTTTGGGCTTGTTTTTCCAAGGAAACTCTAGGAAAGCTTTTCTTCCAATACTGTGTTCAGGGGAGACCAGAAAACCACAAATAAGGAAAGCTGCAAGAAACCGGTCTAAGTCATAGTTTTAAATACATAATGTGTGAAAATGCCTGTTGCTTAAACAAGAAGGGCTTCCTGCTTCCTCTTAGACACTTTGCCATTACTGTGTTACAATATTCCCACCCACACTGGTTTGTAGGGAGGCAGCTTCTCTAGGGTGCCATGCCTTCCCAATGTCTCCTTCGGTTTTCATAAGTAAATAAAGCTTTCCTTTGAGCAACTCCCATGTGAGGCTGAGTGTTCAGCAACACTCCAAGTGGACAGATCCCTTGTGTCTAACAGTTACACAAAAACTTTGTGCAATAGAAAATTTAGGTTTTGACTTCACACCCAGTCTTGTCCCCAGTCAGCTCTTTATAATTTAAAGCAACATAAAAGTCGGTATACTGTTACACACAGCTCTACATAATAGCCCCTTGGACATCATAAAAGAATTGTGATTTACATGCATTTTCATGAGTTACCAGGAAACTGCAATGCATTTTCACATATTCCACTTGAAAAACAAGAAGTGTGCATGTTTTTGTTTCCAGTAATAAAACACTTCTTTGCAGTTTGACAAACAGTGGGAGATTAGGTACCCGAAAAAATGGTGATGGGAGGAGAAGTCATTTAAATGAGATGACATTAAAGACAAATTCTAAGAATCCACAAATGAGGTGCAAGTGGGAATACGGGAAGGAAGCAAAGATCAAAGTTAGCTTTCACTGCAGAGTTTCTGCCAAATGCTAGGAATCTGGAGCTTTAGTGTAACCAAATGGCCCAGGAAAGAAAGCAAAGCAGTGAAGTAATGCATGAGAAACCCTTCCATGATGTTGACAACCAGACAACTATGCAAGAGGTAGGCAATAAAATAGTAGTTTCTGAGAAATTCTCCTTTCACTTTGGCCTTTAACCAGATGGACATTCCCTGTTTAATGCTGTCTGGTCTGAAAAACCTGGCAAAAAAATATTTAAGGTACCCTCATCAATTATGCTGATCAGCTGACAGAAGCAAACATAACTATACTTTGGAAAAACAAACTTTATCCCAGTTCTCAACCCAAAATGTCCAGATAGCTGAGTTCATGGTTAATGATAACAAAGCACAGCAAGAAAGATGGAACACACACACATATACACACAGACTTCTGTGAATCTGAAAGAAAAGCAATGAAAGATCATGAAAAGTGTACCCGTTTTCAGATGTTTCTCCACATCAAAATCATTTAATTATTGTAAAGTGAGGAGGATTTCAAGGTCTAAAAAGCTAAAACTACCAGATAGTTGCATCTGTATATAGCACCAAGTATCAATTGAATACTAAATTACATAATGTGAATAACAATAAAATTTAAAGTACTTAGCAGTATGTCAAAGGATAAACAGTGCTTTAATGGAGAAGAGCTTCCTGAGAAACATTAGAGAATGCATAAATGCATAAATGAAAATAAATGTCATATTTTTAGGTAGATAGGCTCAACATTGAAATGAGTCAATTTCTCCAAAATCAATCTTAAATTTAATTGCAATTCAATTGAGATCCCAGCAGCGGCTTTTATGTAACACAATAGACTTTTTCTAAATTTATTTAGATGTTTTCTAAATGTATAAGGCAAAATAAAGAACTCTAGAACAAGCAAGACAGTTCTCATGAGATCTTATCTTAGCAAATGCCAAACCCCACTAGGTTGTAGTAATTAAGGCAGTGTGCAATTGATAAATGAATGAGCAAATTAGTCAAAGGGAAGGAATGATTGCCTAGAAATGAAACATATCTGTCTGTCTGCATATATCTACCTATCTAATGAGCATTTTTCTTACCTTTCTCTCAAACTGCCTGGAAAGAAACTCATCTATATAACTATAGATATTTACAGAAGCATGATTTGAGAAAAAAAAGGATTACAGATCATATAAATGATACTTTTGAGGAAAATAAAATTGCTATATATGCATTTGATGAAGCTAGCCTTGGGCATATTAAAACTGATAGCATATAAGCTTTTTTTAAACTTGTAAAACTTAAACTACTGCTTGGCAATGAATAAATGAAAAGCTATACTCAATAAGTGGATAAATCTAGGAAACATACATAAGCAAAGAAAATTATATATTTATATATTTCATATATACACATTTTTATAAACTTAGGCAAGAATACCCAATGTATTTTTAATTTGAAATGTTTTTCATTTATTTGAAAGGAAAGCAGAAGGGAGTGAGGAAAATGTGATAGAATTTCAACTGATTGGTTTAATGTTTGAAGGTCTGGACTGAGCCAGGCTAAAGTCATGACCGCAGAAATCCATCCAGGTCTCCAATATGAGAGGGACATGTGTACTTGAATCTTCACATCTTGTCTCCAAGGTGACATTAGCAGAAAGCTGGAAGTGAAGGGAATCAATACTCAAAGCACTCCCATCTGGTTGTGCATCTCCCAATGAGTATCTTAACTATATACCTGTGTTAATGTATTGTTACATATAATGATATTGCAAAAATTTTGTGGAAAGTTGTATTAAAGGTACGATTATTTTGACCTAAGTTTTCAACTCCATGCTGTATTTCCATGATGTACATTTCAAGTTTTTGGAGATCTCTCATATGCCTGAATTTCACAAAAAGTTTGTTCTAGGATCACCTTTTTAGAAATTATTTGGGAAGCAGAGCTATTGAGAGAGGAGAGAGAGAGAAAATCTATCCACTGAGTCACTGTTCAAATGTATGCTCAGTGGTTGGGGCTGGACCAGGCTGAAGCAAGAGATCCTGCCGGTTCTTCCGTGTGGATGATTGGAGCCAAATACGTAGGACATCTTCCTAAACTTTCCCCAGACACATCACTGGGAATCTTTTATTAGAAGCACAGAAGCCAGGACTCAAACTAGTGCTCATATAGAAAGCTGGACACATAGGCATTGGCTTAAACTGTACCACAATACTGGTCCCCTAATATAGGCTTAACTTCATTCAATAATTCCTGAACTTTTGAAGCGTTATCCTAGGTATAAAGCTAAAACAGGTAAAGCAATGATTAACACAAAATGCAGTATAATGATACTAGATTTTTAGGGAAGTGATAACTGGAGAAAAACTGTTATGGATGCTGTGTTATATGATGGAGTTTTGTTGAATGGCTTGAATACATGCTTATATTTTTGTATGAAACAATTTAATTACAAATTAATAACTGCCCTCATTATGTTTCACTCAACCATTTAATACTGCAGGATTTGTTTTTTTCATAATATGATCTGCTTGTCTTTTGTGGAAGTTGTAATTTGTAATTATCTCAACTGAGTGTTTACATGACTGTTCTTCCATACCAGCTACATGTTACACGAAAACTGAAAGCTCATTTGTTAATCACAACATTAAATAATTTTTTCTATATAAAGTCATGAAACATTACATTTGCAAGTTTTGAGAACTTGTCCATTAAGGAAACTGAGCCTGATCAAAAGCTGCAGTGAGAAGTAATGACTCAATTAGGTGAGCTATCATATAACCAGCACAGCACAATGCAGTGTGCATAAAAACGCGTTAGTTACTGGCAAAGGTGGTAGAATTCTCCTAACCAGAGTAGTTGTCCATGTCCATTAACTCAAATTTGTGCATTAGCAAGGAATAATGTTTTTCTACTCACTCCTTTTTGCTGGCTGTATATACAGCTGTAAATCATTTTGCCAGTTTGTAAGTAATGTTTGTGGTACCAACTGAAACCTAGACATGGAAAATAGGACTTGTTGAAACTTCAGTTTTCATAGTGTACAAGAAAAGCTTATAGATTTGGGATGAGGAAGTGGAAATATGAAGCACCTAATTCTAATTATCAATCACAAGTGTCTTAGTGTGACTTATTTTGGGGAGGACGAAAACCTTTCCCTGTGGGAAGTTCCCACTTAGATACTGTGATAACATCAAAATGAAGAATCACCTTGAAAACTGTAGACTAAGATTGAAGAATGGTTATGAAAAGATTCAACCAGCATTTCTTTAATGAGAAGTTATTTGTGATCAGATGTTATTTTATGAAGCATCTGTTTTGTTACAGATACCAATCTGTATGTATTCATTTGTAAGAAGCATGTTAATTTCAGAAATGGTAATGCAGAAGCATGCCAGTGGCAGTTCACTTCCCAGATGAATGCTAAACCCGGGGCAGGATCTTTCAAAAACAGGAGCCTGAAACTCAGCTTGAATCACCAATGTAGGTAGCAATGATCCAAGTACTTGATTCATCAGTTGTTGCCCTGAAGATTGCAAATTAGCAGGAAGATGGGTCAGTAATGGAATGAGTTTGGACACTGGGCTATAACACAGGATACAGCTGTTCCAAGTGGTGAATGGGTCCTGCTGTGTCAAACATTTACTGTATATCAGATTTTTCTGTGCAGTATATAATTCAGAACTCAAATTACACAAAATCATTTATGAAGCACTTCAATAGTTAAATTATTGATCGTTGGTTATTTGTAGTTAATCTAGAAAACATCACTCATTTTGTGTGGTAGAGTTAAGTACAGACATTAATACATTGACAAATTTATAAACATCATGAAATGAATTATAAAGAGGAACTGGAGCCACTCGAATGCCATCTGGTTCTCGTTTGTCACACTGTAGGAAAAAAGCAAAACACAATGTTAGTATTATTCATAAATTGAAAAATCAATATTCCACATAAAATTACACAAAGCATTGGTGCTGATTTTCTTCAAAAAATGTTTTTCCACTGTCAGTAAAATATAGTATGTCTGTTATCTGAAATGTTCCTAATAAAAAATCAGTTCCTAAATCACCCAAGTGATTTCAGAAGTCTACTCAGCAGTAAGTATCCACTAGATGATAGACATGAGTGTACTTCAAAATGCTTTTAAAGGATTTTTTACATGCATTCATAATTATTCCATAAGCATTTTGCATGAATGTTTTCAGTATTCTTTTTAAAGTGCTTCTGTATTTGAACAGTTTAGAGAGAGAATTTCCCATCTGCTGGTTCACTTCCCATGCCAACAACTTCATCAGGGTCTGCCAAGTGGGTGGCAGGTCCCAAGCACTTATGCCCTCCACCAGTACTTTTCTTTTTGCAGGCTAGTAGTAGGGAGATGCATTGGAAGTGGAACAGCTGGGAACCCAACTGGTGCCCAAAAGGGATGCCAGTATCATGTGTGGCAGCTTTGCCCTCTGAGCCGGTAGGTGGCTCTGCACATGTAATTTTTCCCATGATAAAACTTGTGGCCTATTGTAACTCTTAAACTTTGCATCAGTGAGATTCTCAAATTTATTTAAGTAAATCCTTCTTAAGTTCCATTCTCTAATGTCTTATCATTCAAGTAAGAATTTTGGGAATTCTTGAAACCAGACCAAATGATGTGTTCAAGTATTGAATATCAATCACTAGTAAGAGACATCCACTGGACAATATAGTATATATTCTAATCTAAAATACTTAACACGCTGTCACATTTTAACAAATTAACAACCAGGGCACGGTCTCACTGAATCAAAAAGCCCAGAACTCAGTTTGGGTCTGCCACAAGGGGGCAGGGATCCAGGTACTTTACCCATCTCCATCGTCCTTGAGGGGACCCATTAGCAGAAGCTGGATCAGAAGCTGAGCCATTGGAAGTAAAAACGGGAACTTGAAAATGGTAGGTGGGCATGTCAAGTTGCATTAGCTGTGGCAACAAATGCCCAACTTTAAGAAAAGTATTTGAGAACAGAGAAGATACTCTCATGTACTGACTCCTTGCACAAATGCCAGCAGCAGTCCTGAGCTGGGCACCAGTGCCAGTAGAATGAGATTCAGCAGAGTTCTCCTCCATTAGCGGTAAGAAAAAGCTACTTGAGACATCACTTGGGTATGCATTAGGAGGAGGTTGGGAACAAAACTGGAGCTAGAACTCATGTACTTGGCTATGGATGCATATACCCCACCTCATGGCATAACCACTAGTCCAGATGCTCATTCTATTTTAATGGTACATTTTAATTACCACAATAACTCAAATTTTTTTTCTATGTCCTGTGAAACTTGATCAAGCTAAAGCTAGGACTTAGAAAATCAATCTGAGTCACCCTCATGTGTAGGCCCAAATCCTGCTCTCACCTGCACACTTTGTGCAATGAGAGGCAGGTGGATTGCTGTATTCTCTGTAATATATATGGAGGCTAAAAAGTCAATCTTAATGCATACTAGTTTGTACTAGAAACTGGGAGGGATGGTGGAGACAGAGAAGTCACCAAACTACTCCTTAGCTAGAAAAAGCTCTTACTTGTCACAAAGCACGAGAGCGACTGCACTTGACAGTAACCCATTAACTACTTTCTGAACAAATCGGAGTGAGGAAGGTGCAAGGTTCCAATCGCAAATGACCAGTGCAAACCTGATTTAATAGGTACGCATGTATTGAAATATCACACTGCATCCCATAAGCATGTACAATAATTGTACACAATTCAGACATTTAAATGAGAATAATGTACATGGAAATGTTTAAACCATTTAAAAAATTTTAAATTTTCTTACAGTATTACCAACTCTGCTTCGACAAGTGGCAGGGTGAAGAGAAGACATGCTCTGTAAGTTTCCTTATTTAATTATTACATAGGCTTCAATAACTGAAGCTATTTAAAACATCCTAATTGCTTATAATACTTTTTATATGCAAAACTGTTTTAAAATGTGTTATGCACACTATTTCTGAGAACTGAAACTTGTGGTTTCTTTTATCAGAAGCGACAAATCTATTTCCTTCAGTTAGTGTAGTACTGAATGCTTAGCTGTCATTTAGTTTGTCATAACTGATTGAAGTAAAATGACATGAAATAAATCGATAAGCCAAGAAATACAAAATTTATACAAATACTAAATTTCCAGGGACTATCTGAAACAAAGCAAGAGATATACTTACAACCACGCCTCTCTTTTCCAATTCTTGAAAAACATTTGTCCTCGGAATGGAAAATGTCAGAGTTAACTGGCAGCCACGCTCCTGTATTCGGGCTGGTGTAATTATGTGCACGATTGGCCCCTTCGCACCTGCCGTGCGTGTGCGGGAGTGCTGCTCGATCAGGTACTCCAGGTAACCAGTCAGCAAAATGGATTTCTTCCTCAGTGCTTTCATAGTGGCTTGCCTGAAGATCTGCAGAAAGAGTTAGACTGACAGTAAGTGATTCACAAAGAATCCAAAATTAAACACAAATCCCATGTATAAAAAAAAAAAGTGCCAATTTTTGGTCTTTGTAGTGAGCACTACATCTTAGAGCTTTTTGTAAAAATAGCTCCTCTTTTGCACATCTTGTTATTAAAAATTGAAGGAGAAACATTCCTGACAGGAAAATCGTGCACGAATCATCTAAGCAATGCTTACAAAAGATTATGTCCTTTCAGAGTTTTTTGGAGGTAGCTTAATGACCAAAACATACCTTAGATTTCAATAGCATACAGCTTAAAATTTTCTCAAAACTACTTTGTAAAATGATAGATTCTTCAGATTTAAGGGAAGTTTTTGTATATTCCGTTATTGCTCATTTGTGGAACAGACTCATAAAATGTACTGTGAATAGTCATCACAATTGTTCCACTCATTTCTAAATTCCCTAGTAACCTTAAAAAATAAGTAAAGGTTTTTACGTTTTCTTAGCAGATAGTCAGAAAATACATTTATTCTACTTAAAACTTTTGGGTTTCTTGTCCATTTCTCCCCCTTTGCCCCCTTCTCACCCACACATACACTTTCATTTTTCTCTTGCTAAATTCTAAACCTAGTATAGAAATATTGCTTCTTTCTTCCTGAGGTGTCTTGTATTAAGAGAATGACAAGGACATACATACAATAACTGGTGCTGGAATATTAGGGAACAGACCAGACATGTTTCTCTGGCTTATCTCTTAAGGTCAAGTAGAGTTTAATAATACGTCCTACATGTAACAGAAAAGAACTGCAAACAAGGCATAATGCTCTGGCATATCACTTAATGTCCCTTTTCAATGTCAAGAGCAAAAATGGGTCATTCGATGATGTCCAAACTTCATCATCTTTTTTCGTATGTATGTTTAGGTGGCGTGTATGGCAGGCATTTAGAGGAGTAAAATCACTCACGCACACATTTTTCTGGAACCATCCTGCATGGAGGCAATGCATTCGGAAACAGGAGAGGAGGGAAGATGCACTGAAGGTAAGGAAGCTAAGGAAGAATGTATTCCCAACTTGAAGACTTGGTAATTGTCTCTCTTAATCCCTACCTCAGATAATACCTGAATCTTGCAGTGGTATGAGCCACAAGTTGAGCCTTTTGTTCTTAATGCAGACATAACTGCCCCAGGCCCTGGGTGACCCAGTTTGCATGGAGCTGGGTAGAAGGCATCCCCTTAATACATTAAACAAAATGTAGGTAGGCTGGATGCAATAAGGATCTAAAGGAACTATTGCCAATTTTAGGTCAAGGGCAAAGAATCAACACTGTAATTGAAAGCAGGAACAGACATGAAGGGCACAAGACATGGGTGGTTTGACCATGAAATAAGCAAGATTTCTGTCAAGATTAAAAATCTCCTAGGAAATTCTACCATAGTATACATGTAGAAGCACTGTCCAAACTATTCCTATGTATTTAATAAGTTAGCAAGACATTGGGGGAATATTATTTAAATTGACAGCATTTTAAATGAAACTATGGGATTTTATTCTTAAAAATGTCTCTTGATAGCCAGAATTCAAAGTCTTATAAAATGGCCTCAATTTTAACATGGTGTAATGTTGCTACTAAATAGAATCAGTTTAAAACATTAAATGACTTTTCACATTACGACCCACAAGAAGGGCAGTTGCAGTCCCTGTCACCATTTAAATAATTCTCATAGAATCCTGAAGTCTATGAGACCTCTACGTAAACAAGTTAGAAGGGTCGATAGGGCTTAAGGAGAAGCAAAAACAGGGTATTTATTCCACTTCTCTTATTTCTATGCTTTTATTATTCACAAAGATTTTTTTAAATTAGAAAAAAGTAGAAATTATAGTTGGGTAAATATTTGTTAAGATTTCTTTTCATGCTTTCATTCACTTGGGTTATTTTTTTTAACACAAGCTGAATAGCTAGATAAGTTTAAATAGGAAAAATGTGTATAATACAAAACTTTGAACTGTTACTTTTTTTTTCTATTAACTTTTCCAAATTGGCCCCTGAATAATTTTTTCATAAGACATATGGCACATTTTTGAGCCATCAGACTTGCCATATTTTTAAATAAAATAACCTACCTTTATTTTGAACTGACTTAATTATTTATGAATTAATATACCAAAATGATGTGAACAGTGTCCAGTACTAGACAAAGCTAAAGATTTTTAACCTGTAACACATGAAAATATTACATCCATAACGGGAAGTTCTGAGGTTAACTGATCAAACATCCTCTTTTAACACAGACAATGGTTTCAAGAACAGTTGCTGCTTGTGCAAGTTCACACTTGGTGTCCCAGGAGGGATTTGAAGACTGGATGTTATCCTGGGTGCCAGCCCAGACCGCCTTCCCATGACACACACAACCTTTAAGTTACTGCATAAATAATTCACAGGCAAGTAGATACAGAAAACCTGACCATGGGTACTATTTTTAATAGTATCAATCTAGCACATGACCTAATTATAAATACTTATTTTGATTGATATTTTCAAAGATTGTCAAATATCAGCTGGAGGCTGATATTACAATAAATGAAATATTCCCAAAAGGAAGTAGGTACAAGAGGCAGCTGACTCATGCATTTCTTTTACTCAAATTTCAACCATCTACTTCCAACTCTACTGTAGCAGTTGTAAGCATGCAAGGTAAATATTAACATGTTGCATTTATCACAAGCTTACTCACCTGATAAGTTCTAAAATGTCTAGAGAGATGGAAATTTTCAGACAATGGGAAACAAATGTACTGCTTTCACATTTAAACTTCTACTGGTAAGTTGGTGAAAATGTTACAATTTTTTCTTAGCAGCAAATCATGTTGTTCTGACCAAATACTCAGGAATAAAAAACCTTAGTGAAGTAGTTATTAGAAGCCAAAATAAAGATGAGCTCAAAAACTTTGGCAAAAACAAAACAAAAAACCTCTTTGCCAGCAGTGGAGGTGAACATACATAGAAAGCATAATGAAATGAAATTCAAAGATACAGCTGAGAAGTAATGTGCAAATGTAAGGAAAGAAGGGGAAATCATTTTAGGTACCGGTTCTTCCTGAAGTATGTAACCCATCTTGTCACTGCTATCATCCTGCAAAGTTCGACAAAACTTTCTCTGGGTTTGACGTTTCTGTGAATGGGTGTTATAAAACCAACTCACAATGCATTTTCAAATATGCACTAATGCATGTTTTTTTGCTAAAGGCAAATAAATAAAAATAATCCAAAGACTATATTACTAATTGTTAGTGGATGTCACAATCTGTCAGAAAGTAAAAACGGCATAGGCTCCATCTAGTGGTCAGCCGGAGTAAGTGATCTTTAAATTGGGCTGAAATGAAACCAGGTGATTACCACTCTGCAGAAGGGACCCGGCACAGAAATAGAGGAACTTGACACTGCCCTCCAGTGGCCAGAATGAGAAAGTGCTTTGTGTGTTCATATAAAGTTCCCGAATTTTAGTATTTTTTAGAGATTTGGGACTGCTGCTTAAGGTTTATACTGTTGTAATAATATAGTGGGATGGAATGAGTGCAGAGGAAGAAAGTGAAGCCTATAGAATTGTGTAATGAAAAGTAAAATTTATCAGGGAAAAATAAACCATATTTCTGTGAAAAAAATACATGTGGGAAGTTTGAAAAGCCAATCACTTGATATTGGAATAGATAAGTTTCCTCAATTATTAAAAACTAGTTTATTTTAATAAGTATTAAAGATTCAACTTCCCATTTGAATAGCTATATACATAAAATATTAGCATGTGTATTTAAAATGTTTTACTTAAATGTTTAATACATGTATTAGTTTAATTAAGTTGTATCTAATTATAACTAGTATTTTTAAGTGAATTTAATTAGACCCTAAGTCGTTAGAGAATGCTGATTTCTAGATGTGAATATGCATATCTGTATGTGTATATATGTCCATCCTAACTGGTTGCATAGATATAACTTGCAGGTGAGCATAAATTTAAGCAAAAATGAGTGTTTTAATGGGAAATGTTGAGGTTATACTATAAAGATTCTATGTAAAAATACCACCACAGTACAGAGAGAGAAAAGAATTGTGTGTCTAGCAGCAAGTTTGCTGAGCTGGTTTGCTCTGAGGAAGCCTGGTTGCTTTCCTCTTAAAGTTTCCCATAGCTTTGTGACGTGAGCCTTTTCCAGCTCTGTGAGTCAGTGATGGAGCACGAGCTGCAGGATGTGCAATGCTCTCTCACGAGAAAGATGAAGAATCAGTGAATTCAGGAAAAGTAAACTCTAAGACACTTATTTTGTTTATGTATAGGGAGGTCAAGAACAGGTGAAAGAACCTATTCAGGTTTATAGAATCTCAAGGGAACAGAGCAGGTATCTGCAGCTGAGCTACATTTGATACTTGCCACGTGCCGAGCATTCTGCTAGGATCTGAAACTAACACTGGACTGTGAAAGTCGCTGCCGGTCACTGGAGAGTAGGGTCGTAACTACTGCTGGTGGACAGTGAATATATGAATCTTGGCCAGTTAGCAAAGAACGGACTGCCAGCCATTGGTCAGCTAAGGAATAAAGGGAAGGGTGTGGGAAGGTTGAAGAGCCCACCACTTACCTCCAAACTAGCATGCAAGGAACAGACTAGCAACATGGGAGGATTTGAAATTCGGAACCCAGTGACTCCAGGAATTAACTGAAGTTCTGAAAAAGTAATAGCATGTAGTCTTTATAGAATATACAGGCAGTAAAAAGCAGAGAATAAAAATTCCCGAGAGGATTTCTGACAGCTTTAAAACGATATGGTGAAGCTGAAAGACTGGCATCTTTTACCTTGCTGCCAGTTTCCGCTCCCTACCTTTCTAGTGGACAAATATGAGAACCACTAGACCCAAAATGGAAATAGCCACTTGGACATGTATCGCAGGACCCCAGCTCTGCCTTCTGGTACCTGAGCTAGCATCCCTGGTGCTCCCCGATGCTTTGCTTTTCTGTTAGAACACATCCAGATTTGAGTGACACACAACTGTTAACGTCACCCAAAGGCAGAGGACTGAGTGAGCGACTTATGAAGGTGAGTCTTCATTTTAACTGTTAGCTTCTCGGGGGGTGGGGGGGCGGAGGAGAGGTGTGTAAATCTAAAAAACAAAAATCATCCACTTTAGGTAGACTGTATTATAGCAAGTTAAATCCATGAGAGTTAAGGTGGGGAGGCAAATTTGAGATTCAGTTAAAAGAAAGTTATAACCTTAAGGCCCTTCAGACATTCATCTGATCCAGCACTAGTCACACTGAGGCCGACAGATCAAAGCAGACTCACTATCTGTTCTTTAAGATAAGATTTAATTGGAATGAACAGTTACTCGTGTATTCAGTGTCTATAGCCACATTAACACAATAGTGGCAGAGCTGACTATTTACCCTGGAAGGCTCATACAGCCTCAAATCATTCCTATCTCGGGGCCCAGGATTGTGGCTTAGCGAACACAGCTGTACCACCTGATGGGCACCGGGTCCTGTCCCAGCTGCTCTCCTTCCCATCTAATATTAGTTGATCCATTGCCACCCACCCGGGCAAGCCTGACGATATTTCTGGCTGTCAGGTCCCTCTAGAGTGAGCAAAGGTTTCTGTCAAATATAAATATATACATTTGTATTTATATAATATACATATGTATTATATATAATGTTATATATATATTAAAAATTCCTATCTTGACCTCATAAATTTGCTGTTCCAGGTTTATTGACAGAGAAGGAAACCCATCTCAAAATACTGAAGAAACCAGCATGAAACAAAGCGAATTACTTTAGCATTGGAGGTGAAAAACAGGTTTTCTGATTAGAATGAGTGTGCTCAGAGCCTCGTGCCTCGATGCTGCAAACTCAGCTCCACAGAACCTCAATCTTGTCTGTTGGAAGCAAGAGGAAGCATCGAGATTCTGTTGAGTTTTCCCAACGTTTAGAATGGTGTGTGTTTCCCAGGCGACTGAGAAACACGGTCAGCCAGGAAAACCTAGCAGTATGAGCTTAGTGCAGGGGAGCTCCATCTCCACCCACTCGGCTTTAACTGCTTGCTGGGATTGCTACACTCAGTTGGCAAAAGACACGAAAGATATTTGAGACGAGAGAGTGATAGAAACCAATGAATACCTCGATGCTTCATTACACTTGAGTTACAGTTTTGAACTTGCCTTACTCTTAAACCCTCCGATAATGTTATTCATGAAAGAGAATAGAACTTGTACAAGGTCACAGATCAGTTAAAGCAGTGGGGTCTGACCTCAAGTCTCTCTGGTCTAACCTCAAGCAGCACAGTCTCCTGGCTTCACAGTCTGATGTGGTGGGCCCTCCACGTTGCTGGGACCTGCCCAAGCCCTATGGGCTGTATGTTACATTTGTCTTACTTTGATGTCCCTACAAAAGGACAGACTCAAACATGCTAAAAATGCATAAACACTTGTCTCATATTCTACAACTGTCATCCATTATTTCAGTGGCATTTCATAGTGCAGTCTCCATGGGACATGGATATTATATGTAACACAGGATAGATGAAAAGTGGAAGTAATGTGAAAATAAATGCACATTTGAAACAAATTGGAATATACTTACTGTTATCCATTTCAAATCTGGTGCTGAGTTCATGGCCAAACCACCCTACAAGCCTAAAATATAAATATCAGTATTAGTTATTTGTTGATAAAAAATTACCACAAAAAAATGTCACTACAGGGCCCGGTGCGGCAGCCTAGCAGCAATAGTCCATGTCTTGAACATGTCTGGAACCCACAAGGGTGCTGGTTCTAATTCTGGTGGCCCTGTTTCCCATTCAGCTCCCTGCCTGTGGCCTGGGAAAGCAGTCAAGGACAGCCCAAAGCCTTGGGACACTGCACCCACGTGGGAGACCTGGAGGAAGTTCTTGGCTCCTGGCTTCAGAACGGCTCAAGCACCGGCCATTGCGGTCACTTGGGGAGTAAATCATCAGATGAAAGCTCTTCCTCTCTGTATATCTGACTTTGTACTTATATATATATTTTTTATTTTGTTACAATTTCAGGATCTGGAGCCTGAATATGAAAATTTTGTGATTTTTGAGAAAAATTTGTACTCATCTTAAATTTCATTCTGCAATACACAAAGCGTTCAAAGCTGGTGGGTAACACTGTCAAATAGTATGTTAAGCCTCTACTAGTTGGAGTATGGCACTAGTTGCAGTTTTAGCTATTTCACTTCTAATCCAGCTCCCTCCTAATACATCTGATGCCAAGTGCCTGGGCCCCTGCAACCCCATGGGAGACCAGGAAGAATCTCCTGGCTTTGTCCTAGCTGAGGTCTGGCTACTGTTTCCATGTAGGAGTAAACCAGCAGATGGAAAATTCTGTCTCTTGTCGTGTCTCAGTAACTCAGCCTTTCAAACTGAAGGAAGTGGGGGGAAAAATGCTGGGCCCTAGCAAAGGCAGCAGATGAGAACAGATGATTGGGTCCCTGCTGTCCATACAGGAGAAAATTACCAAAGCCATAATCTGGCTCCTAGGGTTTGTATTCGCAGGAATCTGGATCAGAATTAGAAAACCTGACATACCAGTCTTGTAGCATGTAAGATGAATGTTCCAAGAGCCACTGTAACCACTGCACCAGATTTCTATTGCCTGTGTGGGATTTATCAAGTACTTAAGCAGATACATAATAAAATACAATTACTATATTATGTTGAATTGTAACAAAATCAAGTTGTTATTAAATTTATATACCACTACCATCTGAAGTTATGCTTAATGACCTTTTTCTTACATGAATAAACAAATTAGCTTTCTAAAAATTTTTCTAAATGTAAAAGTTCAAAATATTAACATACTATAAGGGGAAATAGTACACAAACCTTAATTGTTTGAAACTTGAATAATTTCATACACCAGTTTTTAAATGGTAGTAAGAAGGCTTATTAAACACAAAACACAGGAAAAAATCATGTGATTACACAATGATTCTATGAAAATATCATTTGAGAAAAATAAATGCAATTTTCCTAATAATTCTTCAAAAACCATCATCTACTGCTTTCCCAGGCCATAAGCAGGGAGCTGGAAGGGAGGTAGAACAGTTGGGACAGAAAATGGTGCCAATTTCGGATCCCGGTGCTTCCCAGTTGAGGACTTAGCCATTAAGCTATCACATTGAGCTCCCACTCACTCAGTTCTTACACAGCAATAACGGCCAGAGCTGGTAGTCAAGGTTTTCCTCTGGTCTCCCACATATGTGTAGGGACGCAGGAACTTGGGCCGTCACATGTTGCTTTCTCAGTCCATAAGCAGGGGTTGGGTTGGAAGGGAGGCAGCCAGGACTCAAACCAGTGCTCATACGGGATGCTGGTATTGGAGGAGAATAATGACTGTTCTATATCACCACATGGCCCTATCTATTTACTTGGAAAAGTAATTTTAATACATCAAGAATATATGGACATATGACATAGCAGTAAAAGCCACTACTACCAATGCTGGCATTTCATATGGGCTCCAGTTCCGGTCCTGGCTGCTACACTTCCAATCCACCCCATTGTTGATGTGTCTTGACAGACAATAGAAAATGACCCAAGAGCTTCATCCCCTGCTACTGATGTAGGAAACGTCTAGGAAGCTCTTGGCTTAAGACTAACTCAGTCCTGGCCACGTAGCCATCTGGAGAATGAACTAGCCCATGAAAACTGTCTCTTTCTCTCCCTCTAATTACAACTTTCAAATAAATTTTGAATTATAAGTATAGTTAAGGATATTGTATATTATCAGTGACATCTCTCAAGTTTTAGAAGATAATTTATATAATAAATTTATATAATAAATTGCATTAAATGAATAAGCGTACAACAAAAGCAACAGAAATAAGACTAATGGAACACAATTGTGATATCTCAATGTAAAAATGAAGAAAATATTCTAACATATTTATGATCTTTAAAATGAGAAATTGCTAAGTCTGAGAAACATTAAACTAGAAATGTAGTCAACAGATTCAGACATTAAAATCTGTCTGAAAATACGAAGCTATAGCATGAATCAAAGATGAGGTAAAGACACATTTTCACTAAGAGATTTGGTAGAAATTAGACCATGTATCAAAAACTCCATGTTCATAGCATGGGCAGGAAAGTTACAATGAGAAATGCAAGTGTCCATGAAAGCAGGAAAACAGAACAAACAAAACCTTTATATGACACAAATAAAGCTATGAGCTAAACAAGGCCATATTTCTACATGAAAATTGACACTGTGGTGTAGCTGATAAAGCTACAACTGGCAAGGGCGGCATCATATAGGAACACCTGTTCAAGTACCAGATGTGCCCGCTTCCAGTTCAGTTCCCTGATTATGTGCCTTGGAAAGCAACAGAAGATAGCTTAAGCGCCTGGGCCCCTGCACCCATGTGAGAGACCCAGGAAAAGTTTGTCTTGGAATTAGCCCAGCTTTGGCCATTGCACAAATTTTGGAAGTGAATCAGCAGATGAAAGATCTCTAACTCTACCTTAAAATATAAAATTTTAAAAAATTTAAAAATTGAAATGGAATGGCAAAAGCTCAAGTGAGAGGATGCTCAAGGGAATTCTAGTTAAATAAATAAATAATGATTTCTGGAGTGAAAGAAAGGTGGTCCAGACTGAATTTCTAAAGTGACACCCTTGATGCTATCATGGGTAGAGATTAGGATTACATGAAGCCATTTGCAGAATGGCTGATGGATTCTGCCTGATAAATAAAAGAGGTGAGGCATGTGCAGACATGAAGAGCCAAGAGAAATTATAGGGAGCGGGCATTTGCTGCAGTGGTTAAAGATGGCCCTTGGAAACTACACTTCTCCTGCAAGAGTGCTTGTGTCTGAGTTCCAGCTGTATTTCTAGTTCCAGCCATCTGTTAAGGTGCTCCATAGGAGGCAAAAGATTAGGATTCAAATCTGCAGGTCCTTGCCACCCACAAGGGATTTTTGGATTAACTTCTAGGCTCTTGGCACCTGCCTGACCCAGCACGGGCTGTTGTGGATAGTTGAGGACTAAACCAGCAGTGGGGAAATGTCTCTTTTTTCAAGCAAATACATACTGTTTTGTTTATATCCATTCTTCTTTTAATAAATGTCTGCAAATTTTTTCCTGAAAGTTCACCAGCTTGCCTCCTCCCTGTCTTCCTTCCTAGGTAACTCACTAGAATTGCTGATTCAGGAAATGTAATGCAGTCACATGCACGCAGTGAAAAAACACAGCATAGCAACGACAACCACTGTGTGAAACTGTGAGAACAAAAAGTCTACTTGCAGATGAGAAACATTCACCAAGAAAAGATTCCCAGAGAGTTAATAAAAAAAGTAAAGCAAACAGATAATACAACACAATATTCAAAATTAATACACATGAGGGGAAATGTTGAGGTTAAAATGTTAAAAAAAAAGAGGGGTTAGGAATAAAAGCAAGGGAGAGAGGATACTATGGAAATGACTGCAAGATACAGAGGATGTGTCTGAGAAAAAAATATAAGGAAAACAGGGCTCATGATTAGGAATCTCAAATTGGGAGCAGAGCTGGGATTTAAGCCAAGGTTCTCCATATGAGGGCAAGTCAGTCCCACGTGGCATTTTTATATATATAATTATATATATTTTTTCTCATTGAAAGTTATAGAGAAAAGAATGAGGTGGACACAGAAGTCTTCCATCCATTAGTTCATTCCCCCAAGGAGGCCCATCAGACATATGTGAACCTGGCCACACCCAGGGTCCAGGAATTTCATCAAGGTCTCCAATATATGAACAGGTATCAAGCACTTAGGCCATCTTCCACTGCCCTCCCCAGGGACAGGGTGGAAAGCGAAGCAGGTGGAACCAGAACTGGCACCCATTGGGGTTAGCAGCACTGCAGGTGGTGGACTCACTTGCTATGCCACAATGTGGACATGTCCTCCTCCCCCACATGACATCTTAACCACTGTCCCAAATGCTTGCTCTGGAAGAACAATTTTAAAGTTGTAATGTATGACAGGTGCATTACATAACAGGGTTTTATTTGATCTATTTTGAATAAATGTATGAATATATATGTATATATACAGTAACAGTGCAGGTATTCCACATGGAAGTGCCTGTTTGAGTCCTGGCTACACTGCTTCTGAGCCAGCCTCCTGACAATGCACCTGGAAAAGGCAGTGGATGTAGCCTAAATATTCAGACACTTACAGCTCCAATGGGGGAGCAGAAAGTGGCTCCTGGCTTTAGCATGAGCTGCATATACATGCCTGTTATTGCCGTTTATGGGAATTAGCCAAAGGATGGAAGAGCTCTCATTGTTCTCCTTTCCTCCCTGTTATTTAATTAAATACACATTAAAAAAATAACAAACCTATCTGTCAAAACAGTAAATGCCAATGAGTTTAATCCATACAAGACAAAGACAGTTAATACAGATTATTTGGAAATTAAAAGAACAAAGGGAAGAACAAATATAAGAATTTTTAAGAAGCTAAAGAGGTGTTATCTTTATATTTGGCAAGGTGGGATTCAACAAAAAACATGAATTATAAGGACATTCTGTAAAGCCAATGATCATTCCCATTAAGTTATAAATTTCTGGGAGTGTGCAATCATAGAACATCACAGAAGATGAAAAGGGAACTCAGTGAGGTTCTGT